GCCGCTGGTCGGCTGCGGCGCTGTCTTAGTGCGTAAATTGCAGTAGATCTCGCTCCGTCAGAGGGTCTGGTGGTTGCGTTGTCGCCGGTTGACGCCACTTGGCGGCTGCGGCGCTGCGGCGCTGTCTTTTTGTAAATTGCAGTAGATCTCGCTCTCTTAGAGGGTCTGGTGGTTGTGTTGTCGCCGGTTGTCGCCGCGTGGCGGCTAGTGGTCAGAAATAAAGATTTCTAGAGAAAAGTTTCACTGCTTGAGTAGCGCATCTCAGTTCCGTAGCCCTATATTTGGGACCTGTCCAGATTGAACTTTAGATCAAGGGCATCTTTAGGTCACTGTTTGTCAGAATTCTACAACACATCAGTCTGTTTTAAGCTGTGGAGAGTGCTTGGTGGGTGGGCTTCTTCTCTTAAAGCTTCTGCTTGAAAAAAAAGAGAAAAGTAGTCAGATTTGTCTTCAGAAATAGAGATTTCTAGGGAAAAGTGGTCAGAAGTAGAGATTTCTAGAGAAAAGTGTTCAGATGTAGTGGTTTCTAGAGGAAAATGTCAGAAGTAGAGATTTGTATTCAGGAAAACGCCACTTGGCGGCTGCGGCGCAAATGATGTGGTGACAGTGACAAACAAAATCTTTGGTCTTCACTTTTACAGACGGTTATGACGTCTTTTGCATGTAATACTCATGACGACGCCCAGGTTCACGAACACGACCTGCTTTCGTCTGCGCGATGAAAAAGAGCTTGGCTATAGGGTTTTACGTCGGCAGAGCGATGGGGCTTTACTTCGGCTAGTTGTGGCTGTACACACATGTCTGCACAATACCTCGTACATCCGCCGTGCACATTACTCTCCCACACCTCTCTCCCACCCCTCCGTTATGTAATTCTGATATAACTAGTGACAAGGCCATGTTGTAGAAGCTATTGAGACTCCGACGGCTTTGTGCTTTAGAATCTTAAGATTCGTAAAGACTCATATGTGGGGTTATCCGGTCCTTTAATTTGCTTGCGTGTCAAGTCCCTCTTTCCGACGAAGCAGCGCAAGAATTGTGTGAAAGCCAGCCAACCCAAGCTGATGGCCAAAGCTGGAACCTATATATATATATATAGATTCAGATTCAAGTAGCTAAATTTCTTTGGCCCATCGTCAGGCACAGCACTTTGCTGGTGCTTTTTGTGGAACCTGTACCAACCCAGCACTCGACACCCCAACCACGAAGTGACCACGCTGCGAGATCTCGCGACTCCTGGAAGGCCTCCTCCGGTCCAGTTTTTCCGGCCATGATTGAGTGGTCATCTCGCAAGCCATCCAATAAGCCAGGCCTTGACCCCCTCAATCGACGTCCTGCGGCGGCGATGTCCACGCGCACCCTCAAGTCTCACCCGCTTCAGGTCCCAGATTTTTCTATTTTTTTCTCGACATATAAGTTGTCTCTAGCCTGGACCCAGAGGCTCACCGAACCGGTACTCAAAAGGGTACTTACTGAACCCCGCTCAGTGAATCCTGGCACTAGCTGCTTCCTCCTGTACCTGCTCACACCGCAAAAGAAGGTTCAGGTTGGAAGCCGCGGCCAGCCACCTCAAACAGGATGGACTTCACTTTCACCTATAAGAGCTGCGTTGGGCTCATAGCCTGAATATGGAGCAGGCTTTTCACTATGCCAAAGAGGGGTCTGCGACGGTTTGATATGTCTCTACTTTACATAATGTGAGTGACTGCACATGTTCTCCGCGTGATGCGGTTCTAGAGCAGTTTTTGAGCTGGAATGGGAGTTGCCCTGTGCGCGCAAAATTTGCCAGTTACTGTAGCAGGCATTTCTGGGCAAGAATTGAACATGACGTTATTTGCGGAAGACTTGTGGTGCAGGAAGTTGATGAAGAGATCGACCAGGAGGCATTGCGTTGTTTTGGAACTGAGTGATTGCTGCTGAACCAAACAGTTTTGCAGGATGATAGATCCGAAGAGGCAGTGCTCGTATGACTCGTATGATTTCTGGTGTCACAATTCTGTAGTGCTTGCCCTCTATTTTGTGCAGGAAAGCCGTCCAAATAGTGCCAGCAACCATGGTCTTGATCAGGCAGCTTTTGGTGTGCCAAGCATTCCTCAAAATATCGGAGGCAAACATGTCAGAGCTTTAGCTTCGCGGTCTGAAAAGTACAACTCCACAAGACACACTCTAGCCATCAAGCAAGTGGTTGCAAAGGTACCTCGAAATCTGTGGACTCAAATGCTTTCCCCAACCCTAGTTTTAGAGGCATACTGATTCTCAATGTGGCGTTTCCAATGTAGCATTCTGGGATGGGTGGGGCTATTCTTTTTTGAATGCATGTGTGGGAGGGGAGATTTTGATGGGACTTGGAACTGGGGTCTGAGAAAGAAATACCCGAGGGATTGTTGTTTTTGGTTCGCGGCTGATACGCTGCCCTTGCGCCTGTCACGTACGTCGTGGTTCGGTTGTCCGGTGGGGTGGAGTGGGGTGGGTGGGGGTGGGGGTGGGGGGTACTGACGTGCTTGTAGGGATGTGAGTATGCAGTTATACGGTTACACATACCTCACTGTGTTTCCTTTGTGTATTACAACGCAAACTTCTTTCCATTTCAGTTGCTTCTATGTAACATCCAAATCTACTGTCAATACCAAACAATCAGGTAATGACCTTCAAGTCGAAGGACACTCACGTTTCTTCATATTTTTAAGTGAAAGACACTTGCGTGTTGAGTTGCAAAGTGTTGCGAATTAAGAACAACTATCATGAAAAAACTCTTGCCTGAACTATCATCAGAACTTCAAGAACACTTTTCCGAACATTTTTATCACACTCCTATATAACAAAAATGAGCGTATCGCTGTAGGGAAACGCTCGACACAAGCATCTTCCTTGGAACAACGTGGGAAATTTGATGCACCGGCAAAGACATATCTAAAACACATATATTTGTAAATACCAACAAACATCTACAGACAGGCAAACAACCAATCAAAAACGAGCATACAGTTGCAGGGCGGCGTATCACACACGTCCCTTCTATTCTCACTGCTTCGCGGCGAAGACTGCCCGCACGGATACTTGTGCTGCCTGAGCTGGGAAAGAACGATACTACCGTGAGGAAAAGATGGTTATGGAAACAACGAGGTGCAAGATATCGACTACGCTGGTACCTATCTTAGGCGTGTTGTACTCAATCAGCCTCAATAGGGAAATCCGCAAGTTCAAACACGCACACGCTTTCAATGACGCAACTCCATTCGGGCAGCAAAACTCACATTGTCAATAGTTTTCTCGTTTCTCTTTCGGGAAGGCCGCAATGGCAAGCACACACGATGTCAATTTTATGATGCATTCTCACTCGGGAGCCTAACCAACATCACCAATGATTTGCTCGTTTTTCCATCGTTTTTTTTTTGAAAAACCTCAAAAGCAGGGTATTCTAGAGCAAAATCATCCCCCGCAAGCTAAAGCTAAAGCGATTTACGCGAGCTGAGACAACGCCTCACTCAGCACCTTCGGTGCGGGCGGATCTTTGTCCGAGTGTCCCTACACTTGCTCCACCACGTGGGATTTATCTTTTGGGCGTCGAATCATCATTCCTGCTCATTCCTGCCGTTCTGATTTGAGCCGGTGGGCTTGGGCTGCCCACGACTGATACTAGGTACATACTGATGGCAGTAAAGAGACTTTGCCCGTTTCCTGCTGGAGACTGCAAACGCCTTGTCTCCCCAATCATGCATATATTATCGATGTTCAATCACCTTTACTTGTACAATCACCTCCTTGCAGCTCTGGACTGTGATGCTTGTAGAACCAAACAGTCACCCATCACAAACAGACAAATTGACCATGATGTGGGACGACACTACTCCACGCAAGTTTTTGGAAGTTTGTGCTAGCCAGCTAGTGGAACACTGAAAGCTCAGAGCCATTGTCCAAAAAGTTACAGACAGTCAACAGTTAAACGCAGCTCGGAAAGTCTACAGCTGTGCGGATTCAGACGCTCATGATTCCTTTGATTGATTCGATCCGTAGGATTGGTGAGCTTGGCAGGATACGCGGGGAGTGCTGCACCTTATGAACGCAGCCAATCAGCAGCAGCCATGACCCCAGACTACAATGCCATTTGCCTCAAGAAACACAATGTGGCCACGATCATTCTAGGCTGTCTTGGCTCCGCCAATCTTTGACGAGCCACTTTGAACACAGGGTGCCTTGTGCACGAATTTGCTAGCAACAGCAAAGTGCAATGCATTGTAGACTTTGTTCTTGTTGTTAAATGACCCTGATGTTGGCCATTGTGCTTGCTCAAGCTAACGAGACCTGGCCACGCTACTTGTTCAAGGCGGGTTGATGTGTGATGGGTCTTAAGCTCCCAAATCATGAAAGCCGGCCGGCCTTAGGCTAGGCGAAAGTGAAGGAAGCCGAGAATTGGGTCTTTGGGCAGAGTGTGTGCAATATATATATATATATAATGCTTTCTTGCTCTAATTTGGTTCATTCCGGTGGTGGAGGGAGGTTAAATGATGCCGATAGTGCAAGTTGTGCATATTGCATTTCCAGCATACTTGGAAGGTCATCAACAAAGAAAGATCAGTTGGTAAGAAGATGTGAGAAGTGAAATGGACATCCCTCTGCGTATCATGGTGATATTTGATGCCAGATGTTCCTCAGTCTCTTGATGCTATGGAAGTGACTGAATGCATCAACACTGTGATTTTGATGCGTGAGGGGATATTGACTATATGTATATATATATATATACACATCTAATCTTAGTCCCTGTTGAACAAAACTTGAACAACAAGAGGAGCACAAAGACAAAGTCCTTTTTGGCAGGCATTGGTCGATAACAACAGCAAGTAATTGTTTTGGTCTGACAAACGAGCATCTTGTCAAGGGAACAGATGTGGAGTTACTGTTGCTTGGGAAGCGTGCCAGACATGAGCGAGCCAGATGTGAGCCAGCTACCCTGCGCAGTTGCGACCTCAACACTGTACCTTGCAGACTGTTGTAAACTTACTGTAGTGCAGCCGGACAAGTTGGTGCAATGCAGCCTGAGGATGAGCTTGTGCCTTTGCAAAGTCCCGAATATTTGGTTTGAAGCTCAGACATTTGTCATCAAGTACACCCCCCACCCTATTGTGCAGTGAGTCAGGTATTGGTAGGTAGGCAAGATCGGAGATAATGCACTCAATTCGCTCTGAGGCGAATCCAACTGGTCGGGAATTTGCAGCTGATTGTACAGACGAGATGTTAGGTCATTCAGAGTCAATCAAAAGAATTTGGATTGAACATTCAAATGTCGAGCTTTTATTTGCCTTTGATGCAAAGACTTTCGCAGTGGCCTTGGTCAGGAGGGACAATGGCAACATTCCCCAAATCCAGTTCAGCCCCGCCCTCTTGGTCCATCGCACCCCGACTATCCAGAGATTTTGAAAACACATCAAAAAACAAGATTGAGGCTCCAACACTGCGCAAGAAGACTAGGAGGACTGAACACGGAGACAGGCAGAATGGCTTGGAACGACAGTTCAAGTGGAAAACTTGTGGGAACTTGTCCAAGTGGAGGAGTCCGTTGAGGTGTCCACCTCCTTGGAATAAGCCATTGACAGATAAGTGGGGCTTTCCGAAGTCCCTCGAAAGCCTTCCACCAGTTTGAACCTCAGTCTCCTTATGTTTCCTTGTCAGAACAATGATGACAGCATGACAAGACTATTCACCAAGGCTGAACCTTGGGATGTAAGGCCGGAAAACCTGCACGAGCGCATGCCATGATGCATTGCATGCAGTTCGCAGGCATCATCTTCAAGGCATGCCAAATGATGTCATGCCCAAGGACTCCTGCACCAAGTCTGGTTGCACTTCTTCTATAGCATACTTTGCTCCACAAAATCTGTGCACAGAGTGCTTCAGCATCTAGCCCAGCATAGAAACCAGTCACACATAGCGCGTGCCTAACCCAACAAATTTTCAAGTATCTCTACACCAAATCAAACATGTAACATGTGTATATATGTATATATATATATTATAGAGGGCATTAACCCTGAAAATAACAGCAAAATAAGACGAATTCTTTGGGCCTGTCAGCCAAATCTGTTGAGCTACAGACTCTTGTCCAAGTATGCCGCAGCCATCGTCCGCTTTTCTCAAGTGCTTTTACCAGTCAGATGGACAGTCTTTCCAAAACGATTAACCATATATAAGTTAAGTTATAATAAGTGTGCAGCTCTCCGGGTGACTGAGGTTGGTTGTTGGTTTGACAAGCGAATAAGGATAGAACTCGAGAGCCTCTGTCGGGAGCCCTCGTTCTTTAAACTGCCTGCAAACAGGAACGAAGAGAAACCGAAGGATCCCCCAAGAGGTTCGCTATCAGTTTCAGCTTTGCAGGCTGCGGGGCTGGTTTGACTTTGCAGAGCTGGGGAGTGACGGTCTGCGGGAGATACTGGTTCAATGGGCTGATGATAATACGGAGTTCAATTCCACTTCCTTGAGGGTGCTTGCAATTCAAGTTGACACGAGATGACTTGCCGTTGCTCAATGACAGATTGCTGATGTAGAGGGCCAGCCGTGTATAGAGCCCAGTAGCGACTCTGATTGAGCATGTTTGTGCGGAAGCTGTGCTCCCAATAAACTTATTGGCCACCTAAGCCCAGCAAAGCGCTTTCTACCTAGTTGCGAGAGAGGGAGTATTGAAGCCAATGTTCTCGATGGCTCATTGTTTTGCAGTCGTAGATGTGCTGGTGTTTCTCGGAAGCTGCGCCCCCACGAACTTCAGTTCTGGATGCCGAAGAATGCTGAAAAGAATAACTGCCCAACCAACTGCTATTATTATACTTATTATACCCTAGAATGCGGAAGGCGCTTTCATGGCCTTGACTGTGCCAGATTTCATGATTTTTTGTCGCCGTCGCTTTCTTTGCGATTCAGCACACTTGTGCGCTGCATCATTTGTCGAGGAGCAACGGGCTTACTTCTCCAAGCCGCAATCCACAGTAGAACTTCAAGCTGAGTTGACCAAGAACCCATCGTGCCACTCCCAGAAACACAAGATTGCAATGACAATCTGCGATTTGTGAGGCAACTACCACGACGTTTGGAATAGACTTAATCTCAATCAACATGTATACTAGCCATAGTGTGAATGTTCTTGGTTGGCTGGGCTTATTGCGGTGTGGGTGCATTGTGTAGAATTGCATACGGAGGACAGCCTCTAAATCAATACCTACCACTGTGCTTCAAAAGCACACATTCTCAGATTTGCACAGGGCGCGGAGGGCCGCACAGCATAGGAGTTCTGAGCATTTGCCCCCGGCCTCTCCAACACCCAGTTGAGTCTTCGGAGCTTCGCTGTGCAGGACAATCATCTTACAGTAACCAAAAACCGGTGCCTTTCTACAATCAACTGATCAGGTACCAGCTTATTTGTCCAGGTGCGTAATGCAACGCACATGAAACCGGATAAAGTGGATGTGCGCAGCAGCGCTTCTCCCCGGACCTGGCCGAGTGATCGGTCTGCCGGAGTCAGCAGGTGTTTGCCTAAGCAGGTGCCTTTCCCGGCAATCTTGATGGAGTTCTTGTGTTCCCCAAACAGTGTGGGCACACTGAGGGGTTCTTACGGTAGGGGAAAGGCAGCTGATGCTTAGATCGCTGAAGCGCGCGGCCGTGAACGGCTAATTCGCTGCTATTTACAGTACATTCATGCCTCTCGACATCGTCCATGTGCATTTCGACTGCGCAGGCTCGCTGAATCTGGGTGTCCGCGGCGGGTGCTTCTGGCGACTGCGCTCTCTCTCGTTGTGGTGCCGTGCGCATTTTGGTACATGGTGGTCACTTTTCGTGGCAGGCGCAAGGAAAACCTCGTGTTTTGGTGCTCCAAAGTCGACTTTTCGTGACAGGTGCAAGGGATCGGAGCTGTTTTACTTCGAAATGCAGTTTTTGTGGCAGGTGCAGCACTTTGGACATGGTGGTGATCGTCGAGGAGCTCAGATTTCGTGACAGGTGCAGTGAATCGTGACTTTTGGACATGTGGCTCGTTTGCAGATTTCGTGGCAGACACAGCACTTAGTGAACCTCGAGGTAAAGATTTCGTGGGCACAGCACTTGGTGAACCTCGAAGTGCAGATTTCGTGGCAGGCGCAGCACTCTGTCTGTGAGCCTCGATGTGCAGATTTCGTGGCAGGTGCAGCACCTGGCGAACCTCGAGGTGCAGATTTCGTGGCAGGCACAGCGCATGGTGAACCTCGAAGTGCAGATCGTGACAGGCACAGCACTTGGTGAACCTCGAAGTGCAGATTTTGAGGCAGGCGCAGCCACTTCTCACTCTACACTCACACCCACTCACCCTCCCACTTGCAGACTCACTCACACTCGCGCTCACACTCACAGTCACACGCGCACTCACTCACCCACGCACTCTCAGTCTCACACTCACTCTCACTCGCACTCACACTCACTCACTCTTACCCACACTTACTCGCGCCCACCTTCACTATCACCCACCTTCACTCTCACTCACGCTCACTCACACTCACTCTCACTCTCACTCTCACTCTCACTCTCACTCTCACTCTC